ATCATTACATATACATAAATAAAAAATACTATATATCGATAAAACTACAATTTCTTAAATTGAATAACTTATAATACCAATATAATTCTAGAAAATCAATTACTTCATTAGCTTATCAAAACTATTAGGTTTCAGTTGACTCTTGATTCTGTTGACTATCATGGCAATTCAAACCAAAAACAAATATTTTGTTGCATAGTTTTTTGTTTTTAAGTTGTATATAACTAAATTTAATTGGCTGCTTTGACCGCGGTGACGTTGATTGCAATCTCGATGCGACTGCGCCTACAATAATACTGCAGTTAAACATAAGTAACAGTATTAATATGTAAACAATTGTTATTGTTGTTTTCTATTTTAGTAAGATTACTTTTGTTAATTATCAATTTATATTGAGAATTTAGACTCGTTTATAAATTAATTTCCGAACATGTATATTTTTTTGTATAGTACTCGCAAAGAGGCTCGCTTGACATGTTTTTTTTTTTTACTTTTAGAATTAATCTGAGGTGGCGGACGAATTCTGTCGATATCAGTGAACAGCTATAAAAGTAATATAAGAATTTGGAAAATCATTTTACGATAAAAACTAAAAAATATCAAGTGCGGCAAAATATAATATATAAGGGGATTATATTCAGGGGTGTCGTGGAATCCAAGACAGATTTGCGTAGTTGTCAGAATTGCAAACCAATTCTGATTTTGAATGGTGTCACAGAACCTGATTGGATTTGCGTCTTTTTGAACATATACAAAACCAATATTCAAATCAGCTGTTTACTAATGTGACAAAATTTGCAAATGAATAAATTAAGAAGCGTTTTATAAATTTGAAATGCTGAATGAAGTCTACTAAAGTTTACAATGAGTTCCGCTATTTTAGCTTTTATTTTATTTGAAGAAAAAAAGCAACGAAAAAAATAAAAGGAATATATTAAAAAATCACAGTAATTTACTGGATGCACCAGTGGAGTCGCATGTGAAATTTGGCTTGCATTTACTTGTATGTTTGTATACATGCTTACTTTACAGATTTATATCACATTATCGACTGAATAAAGACGCATTTGGGTGTTAAATTACGTTTGTTACGTTTTGTAAATTCGCTTAAAATATCTTGATTTTTTCCATAAACTTGATAATTATGACATTTTTTGTTTTATTCTTATATTTTAACCTATTGAAATAAGGATAAATTAAATCGTAACAATAATATAAATTATTTTCTTAACTTACATTTCAAATCTGTCAGCAAAAATCCTCTTGCTTTGTTTCTGATAACAAAACCGATAATTTTGGTTTCCGTGACACCCAAAACCAATACAATTTCTGTTTCGAACGTCAAACCAATAATATCTGAATTCATGACACCTACTACATATTTTTATCGGTTTCAATTCTGATTCCGACAACTATCAGATTCTACAACACCCCTGATTGTTATCGTTGACCGTTGTCGTCGTTGTTTTTTCGTTGACCACTCAAATATAACAGTCAAGTAATGTATAGACATAGACTTTTATAATATACTGTGTTCACATGAACTATACATTAAACATTGCATATTTTCATCATATACGATAAACATCATTTATTTACAGCAAAATTATAAAAATATTGAAGAATCACATCTTTCTAGATTATAAAAACAAAACCGAAATTGTTGATCAAAACAACCAAATTTAAATATCAATCAAGACAATTTAGATTGAAAATCGGTGGGTAAATATATTATAGAGATTTGGATGTAGAGTAGTATCATGGAAACATGAAAGATAAATATGAAATACTTGTTGTACGTCGACACCTAAAACCTATTACTTATCTGTAAAAAATAAATTTTCTGCTGTCAGATATAACCTGAATTCTAATTTTGTTTCAATTGGAGTAGTTTCTATTTTATATCGTGTTTTCCTCCTCATGTTAACTTATGGGGTTCATAGTAGTCAGAATTTACAAGAAATCGACCGAATCGAATTTGCACTTTTTTAAAGTACCATATAATATCTTCGAAATATTCTCTGAAAGTTTGAAATAAATCCGACATTTCGAGTTATTCGATAATTAGCAAAGGGTTCTCGTGCGCTTTGGATGGTAAGTGTAAAACTTCAAATGCGTTTTCCTCAAAACTATGTTTTTTGAACTGGTGACCACTGTAGCCGAAAACCGCTCGGTGGATTTCAATGAAATTTATACAGCTTTGTTTTATTGAAAATATGAAACACTATATAAACAATTTACTATTGGTTTTTTCCTCAAAATCTGGAGAAAAAATTATCTAACGCCATTTCGTTAATTTTAAAACAATTAAACCAAAAAAGCTTCGGTACTAGATTATCTATTAATAACATAAACAGCAATTATGGTACTTTTAAAATATATATATTTTTTAAACTTTCTGTCAAGTCAAAACCTTTTAAAAAAATAAAAAATTTTTAAATGTCTGTGTACACCTAACCCCTAATGAAAAGTTTAAAGAAAAAAAATTTTTAATGTCTCTGTCTACACCTAACCCCTAATAAAAAGTTTTACGTTTTTGGTGACGATATCTTTCTTCTTAAACATATAATATCCGGGTGATTCAATAATTATTTAATCTCTGTATTGGTTTCAGCCAAATGGGTGTCCAAGTAGGCATCTCAAAAGACCGCGTGTGTCATATCCAGCCTGAAATGTTAGGCATGAAATAGCTGTCGGTACCATCCGCACCTCGTTTGCTTGTTGCGTTCAACCGTAAACCACTTCACAGCAGTGTTTGGTTTAACGCTGTTTAAACGCGAAGACTGTTCTATAGCCCGGAAAGCAGACGACCACCATAGTCAGGGATTAACAAGGTATGATTTACAACAACCACTTGGAGATGGGTAAAACGGTGACAGGGCTCTACTATGCTGAATTATTAAACCGTTTTCCTTTTTCTTTCGCAAGCTAAATACTTTTTCGAACGTCCTCGTAAATTGTCAACATAACAATTTTTGAATAACACGCACAACTGCTAATATATTGAAGAAATATACTGTTACTTGTATCAACTAAAGCATAAATTAGGAATGATTAGAACTTCTACGGAATGCTTACTCTTTTAACTTGAGAACGTATCATGGAAAGTTTCTATTTAAACTTGTATAGGCTTTTAAAAAGTTGCTTCGAAATTGATAAACTTCACTAATATTTATATATATTACCAACGTGAATATTTGAATCGTTTAAAATTAGTTGACCTATTCATACTATGTTCTTGTAATGACATCATTTAATTTTAAATTTGATAATGACAACATTTTGAAATACAAAGTTGTGTGAATACTAAAATCTATTTATGCACGTTTAATACATATAATATATGCAGATGTTTAGTTTTCCTAATACCAAATCGTTGTAAGGGTCAGTTGCATACACTAATGCAACGAACTTAAAGTACAAATTGTAACGGACCTTTAATGCATTAGGGTGTCGATTATATTCCAAGTTGTTTTGTTTTTTTTGCAAACGCCTCTTGAAGTTTATGTCCTTAAAAAAGGATCCAACATAAACAAGTCCTTTATATTCAATTCAAACCATATATAAATCATTTTACTCGTCCCATATATTTTGTGTGGGGTTTTTTGATATTTTGCAATAAATTTTTTATCTTCAAAGTAAATAAATCTACAACTTTGAAAAAGTTATATTCTACTACCGGATTTTCCGCTCTACAAACAAGGTGCTCATGATTTTTTCCATTAAGATCTTTTTCGTATAGCGGAAAATTTGAATTTTTGATTATTTCCACACATTCTGTACTTTGAAGTAAATTAAAATAACTATTCAAACCGAATTTATGGCCTTTTTAATCGGTTACACTCGAGCGCCGGACCCTGTACATGGAAAAAGAAATATATTTAGACACGGTTTAAATTTAAAATTAAGAGCTTATTTACGTTGGATCCTTATTTTTAGGGCAAAAACTGAACCTTCAGAAGGCGTTTGCAAATAAAAGCAATACATTTTGAAAATAACGGACAACCTAATGTACGCATTCCGTATTTTTTAACTGATTTGTGCACACGGAGAGGGGAGTAACAGTGACAGACACACACACTAAGACGGCCGCATGGTAAAATACTCAAATACTCGTCGCACGTTAGAAATAACTATTACTAAAGTGCACATTGGCACGACTATAACAAAATTCAGAAAGTTACACCCCAACAACAGCCCGTCAAAATTGTGGTATTTATGGTATTAAAAAATATATTAACAAATGGATTTCCCAATTATTAACTTTGAGAATTCTTATGAAAAAAAGCAATAATGGACAAAAGTTTTGTAATGGATACGCAACGTAAATAAATAGGAGCAGAGGTGAAGCACACTACAAGTTCGCACACAAGAAGCTGATAGCTTGCATAGTAGCAAATAGGAGCAGAGGTGAAGCACACTACAGGTTAGCACACAAGAAGCTGATAGCTTGCATAGTAGCAACGACAAGACGAGCAAAATCAAAGAAAGAAATCAACTCCAAATTTTCTTATAAAGTTTTTTCTAACGGCGCCTACAAATTAGAAGTAGCTCAACTGCAATTTTCTTATTTACTACATGTAATATTTACGCGGTGTATGTTTTTTGAGTGTATTTTAATTGAAATTACAAACTTTTATTTTTACTTTTTTTCTAAAATTAAAAAGCAGACTGCACGCGCGTCTTTTCACTAATTTCCTTTATTTTCGGTTTAAAATTCCCTTTGTATGTGAATGGATGCATATGTTATGTAATTTTTCATGTAATTCAAAATTCTACTTCATCTTGCTCATTTGTAAAGTTTTTGTTAGTGTTGGAATTAATATCATTATGTTTTATTAAAAATTGTATGATTAATATTTTTATTTGTTTGCAAGTTAACGCCTTTTAGGAAAACTAACTTAAAAGGGCAAAAGAAATAGAGAATTGAACATAATTAGACGACAATTAAAGGCAAAAACAATCGTCTAATGCCATAAACAATTAAACACATTTCTTACCGGTACTGAAATCTGTTGAGAGAGATGAAGATAATAATTTTAAATTGGTTTTTATTATTGTTATAATTGTTATTATCAACATTTTGTTATTGCAAGTTATTAATATATAAATTATTAATTGTTATTATTATAGCAATTAATGTTATTTAAATATAAAATTTTTTTTAGAATCGTTGTATTTTTTAAATGAAAATTTTCCGTCACATTCGTTTTTGTTCGTATTTTTATCACATATTTTTCGTCGATTTATAAATTTTTTAATGATTTTCAATTTTTGTATACAAATATGTATAATATTTTTTATTTTCAATGTTTTGGTCAAATCAACCATTCAATCAATCAATCGGGGTGTGGTTTTAAAGCATTTAAAAAATGAGAAATGAAAGTTTTGTATTAGCGCCACTTAGCAATCATACATCGTAAATATTATAAATATATAGATTTCGAAAATATAATAAAAATGTTTTTAATGATATACATATATAATGTTTCAATTGTTAAATGATATTTTCTTGTTCGCTGTATTTTACGCTTGCGTCTTTTTTTCAATAATTTTAGTTATAGGATTATAATGTATTTACCAAGCTATGCCATATATCAATGGAATTATAAGGCATAAAGAGGTTGAACTTATAGTGATACCGTTATTAATGTCTTCAACGTAAAAAAAGAGGCGTGGGAGTTATGGGAAAGTAATATATCCTAAAATTTGACTACACAAATACAGGTCATATAGAATTAAATGAGTGTTGAAGATGAATCAAAATTAGAACGTGTGTGTATATAGCTGAAATTATTTAGTATAACGAACACGAACCGAACCGAATTGAAAGAATGTAGGTATCCTGATAGCAGCTAATGAACTGCACAAATTTAATAAACGAAAACATTTATGTTCTCACAGATATCACCATATTATGTACCTGTACAACCCAAGGCATCCTCTGCCGAAAGTTTTGTCTGCCTCAAATACAAATATCAAACTAATAGGGGTGTCGAAAAATTTAGATCTGGAGCCACATGACAACAACATAGTTCTTAAAATTAATAGAGAAAACATATTTCGACTCAAAACAACAAAGTAATGTTGACTATACCTTAGTGAAGGCGAGCCACTGTCAGCCAGCAGTAAATGAATAACGTTTATCCCGTTAGTTTCGAGTGAGCTACCGCGAACCTTATGGCGCCATCGCAAGTCAACTAGCTTGCTGTGGTAATTTTGCGAACCGTTCTTCAAAATACTGTTTATTTTATGTAAGTTGCGAGACAAACGGAACCACTTGATGTTGTTAGAAGCCAAACGGAGCCAAGTGCGCTATAGCGTAAGAATTATGTTGTTGTAATGTTTATTAATCTTGTCGTGTGGCTCCGGAATTAAAATTTTTGGTCACCCCTGCTCTAGTGAAAAACAACATTAGAGAACTACTCTAAAATGCGATTGCGATTAATTAAATGTTAAAAAAAGCATGTTAATATGTAACAGGGAAGTTTGGATTTTTATTTGAACTAAACATCATTCCAAATTCTAATTAGCATACCAAGAGGAAACTAAAATGTAATACTAATAGAGAACAACATACCCGTGATTGAAGATTTTAGTTTGAGAACGCTATGTTGGTCCCTCCATTTGTTCTAAATTAGTTAATAATTAGTGCTGGTTATTGTATCACTCCCTATTCGATATTTAACTTTTGAGTATGCTAGAAAGATATGACTCGAGCTGTTTTCATAACGATGAAAGATTTAAGGCGATGTATGTATGTGGTTTGGTAAATTACTGGTCCAACTGCATACGTAGGAGGGGGATTGGAGGGCCACGGTTAAGACAAAACCTAAATTGCAACATTATAGAAGGCATGCTAATTGAAGGTTCCTAACACCAAGTAAGCCGCAATTTTATTCACAATTGAATGGCATTTAAATAATGTTTGGAACAGATACATAATTATTTTTTTTAAATAACGAAGCATGTTGTTTTTTCCTAAATTAGATGAAGGAACATTTCCACAAACGTATGTGATGAACGGTTATACTATCTAAGTAACAAATTGCTCGATAAATCGTCTACCTTGTCACTCTTGAGTTTGATCACTGGATTTTTAAAAAAAAAGTCCCAATTTAATGGCTATACACCTTTCTTATATCTAATTCCAACAACTTAACACTTATTGCTCGTTATTCGAGCCTACAACTTTTTGCCTTTGTCTCAATTGCTCTTAACACGACAACACTCTAACTAGAACTGTGTGTGCTGCACAATCTGGCAGCCCTTACATAGTACATCTTTAATAAAATTTCGCCTCTTGAACATTCTGGCAACTACGAATTCGCTGTCTAGTTGCTTCTGGCAATTTATCGTCGGTTCGATTTTGTTCTATCATCCATGTTCGTCCACTACCCTGCCGTCCCGATTAGATATATTTGCGGTGCCAAACACAAAGCTCTTATGTCCCTCATCTCGTCTTCTAGGCTGATATTAATTTCCTTTCTAATTCCATCCGTTTTCCGGTTTTTGGTACATCCTTTGACTTAAAGCTGACTCGAGATTCCATTCTTGACGCATCACAGAATGAGAACCGGTTTTTGTAGTCGAAAGGACGACTAGGAAAGATGAACGGATCGTGCCGCTCGTGCTCTGGTAGCACGCTTTGTGTTCTTGTTCGTAACATTTATTTTTGTAATTATTTCCACGGTTGGAATTGCGCTCGGTTTCAATTGTATATTCACAGCATGTTCGAAAATCTAAACTTTCTTATATTTGGTTTTTATAATATGCTAATATGCACAATATAATAGAATTATTTTAGAAAAGGCTGAATGAAAACTTGCTTATCAAAAATATTTTCTGCACCGCGCACATGAAGCGTACAAGTGTTTGAGAATGTGATGTAAAAGAAAATGTAAAAAATTGTCCAACTCAAATTGTTGCACTCATGTCGCTCGTGTGAACGCAATGACCAACACACATAGAGAATTTGCCGACAATGGGCGACGAAAAACTCCTGGTCTAAACGCAGTCTTATAGCACAAACAGTCACCGACATTCCTCCCTTCCGTACTTACCGCTCGTACCAAACCAAAAGTGTCAAAAGTTATGCCCGTAGTTGCAACGCAGAAATCAGTTGTTCTCTTTTATTTTCATTTAACCAATGTTGCCATTGTTCGATTTGTATACACGATTTTTCACATTTAGGTTTTTAGTTATAATTTTTCATAATATAAAAGCTCAAAACTAAAATCCAACTATTAAAATAGTTTACCTATTCAAAAATAAATGTATTCGACTGTGATTTCGAGTTATTTTAAGAATATTTCAAATATATTCAACTTTATTTTTTAATTACTACAAAATATCGAGATTAACAAAACTGCGTTGCAAGAGGTTGCTCTCTCACTCGACAAATCTGTTTGAGTTTAAGGAGGTTTTTATCGTGATGGGTATGTTGACAAACGCAGGTTTGCGATGGATTTCAAAAACCAACAAGCGATTTGTAAATTCATTTGTGGTAAGTGGCATTGTTTGCAAACATAGTATGCTCAGCTGGTAGACATTTGTATATATTTCATATAACCAGTCTTTTATCAATTTTTTTCCCAATTTTTACTTTTTTTTTTTGCCTTTTTCGCTTTATGCACTGGCGGATTACTAGTAGCGCCATTACATCACCCGCGTTATAGTAAGGCATTTTCACTTCGAGAAACATACAATGGAAATGAAGTTTAGCAAATCGGTTTGTCGTGAGTGCTCAACAGTCTTCAAACAGATTTGTCAAACAAGTTTGTCGTGACTGCCCCGCTTAAGTCTCTGCGCATCCCTGGTGTCAGTTGCTTTCACGAATGATATGATACGAAACTCTTTAATTCGAGAGAGAAATGTCAAAACTCACATTTTTTATAATATTTGTCAATGATACCACTGTCGAAAACAATAGATTGAGTATTTTAAAAATAACATTTGGACATTTTACTTTTCGATATTATTTCTAGGTGAATGGTTCTCGTTGGTTCTAAAACGCGCCTATGCAAACTAAAACCAAGAAACAATACAACTCATTATAAATTATCATGATTTTTTGAGGAAAGTTTGAAATACAAATATTTCGCATTTATAACATTATAAGCATAGCTAAAAAACCTTTACTTGCAGAATATTTATGTTGTCGTTCTCTGAAATTTCGTTTCGGACTGATTTTTTCAGTTACTTTTAGCAGGTTTATTTCCGGCATCCCGCCTATTTGACATCAGGTGTTCGAAATTCCCTGATCTCCGTCGCTACCAACATAACCTGGGGACACGTTTGCCTTTTAATAATTGTGGTAAATGGGAATTAGATTTATTCGATATAGAAAATTTAAATGAATATGCTTGCTATTTGTTTGGTATGTCAGTTGTTCTTAATTAAAATCACAATGTTATTTTGTTGTTTTATTAATATTTTTTACAATACTAGTAAAATTGAAAATAATTGTGTTGTTAGTTAGAACAGATGCTTTAGAAAATATTTTTATACTCTCGCAACCTGTTGCTACAGAGTATAATAGTTTTGTTCACCTAACGGTTGTTTGTATCACCTAAAACTAATCCAGTTAGATATAGGGTTATATATATATAAATGATCAGGATGAAGAGACGAGTTGAAATCCGGGTGACTATCTGTCCGTCCGTCCGTCCGTCCGTGCAAGCTCTAACTTGAGTAAAAATTGAGACATCTTTATGAAACTTGGTAGACATGTTTCTTGGTACCGGAAGATGGTTGGTATTGCAGATGGGCGTAATCGGACCACTGCCACGCCCACAAAACGCCATAATTCAAAAACAAATAAGTTGCCATAACTAAGCTCCGCAATAAGATACAAGACTGTTATTTGGTACACAGGATCACATTAGCGAGGAGCATCTGCAGTTAAATTTTTTTTAAAGTGGGCGTGGTCCCGCCTTTAATGGGTTAAATGTGCATATCTCCTAAACCGCTAATGCTATAACAACCAAATTCATTGGGAGCAAATGTTTTT